ATATTATAAATATCTATTAATTTTATAAATATACGATTAGAATTATTTTCTACCGTAAATTATATATTTTCGTCTTGTAAATATTTAAATCACATATAATGACGATATTAATATGGATGTTGAACTCTTGGCGTATGTTGTCATTGGACGTATGGGGCTATTAAGTCCATCAGAAACAAGGCGTGGACTGCTCTGAATAAGTAATTTGGTGAAATTAGAAAGACTTTTTTTGGTAATGCATTTATATTATGCTTTAAAATGATTTTCAAAGTGCTTTTGACATGAAAAAAATATCAATTTGATAATTTTTTAAATATTTTCAAATGATTTTAAGATACTGATATTAATATCGAAAATATCAAAAAAAATTAAAAAAACTTTTTTTAAATTCTAATATACTTCAATAAAAAATAACTTTATCTTATTCTCAAACTGATTTTAAGATACCTTTAATTGTATTCTAATATACTTTTCATTGAAAAAATTGTCCCTCTTAAAAAAAAAAAAACAAAAGCTTGGCCACTGCACACGGTGGTGATCCCAAATTAGTTAAATGAATGGCTGCAAATAAGCAAAAGTTTTAGAGGGGCCTAATGTAATGAATTATAAATATAAGCATGATATTCCACTTTTCAAAAATTTGGGGGCCCTATTGTTTGCCTCCGGATGTTTGTCAGGCATGCTTCTTTTCATTTTTCAATCCGATTTTTCAACTTGCTCACTAAGTTAAGGCACGATTGGTTGATGTTTAGATTCCCTGGCTCTCTCTCACTAGTGTACTCGTTTTATTTGCTTCTCTTTAGTTGGTACAGTTATTCCATCTACTTTAGCCACATCTCTTCTAAAAGATTCCAATCTGGTCCTTCGATTGCCAAACCAATCAAAAAATTGCAACCCAACCGTCCTTGAAGTTCGAAGTAATTGGAAGTTGAGGTGCCAATCTAATGGAAATCTCAAGTCAATTTGTTCCTCGACTATGCACCGATTGTCAACTAGGTCTCCAAACTATAAATCTTATCAATTCAGTCTTTAAAGCATTAGACATTCCACAATTGAATTACTGTGTCCATATTCATTAATCTTTCTATTTAAAATGAAAAAACCTGGAGGACGATACTTTTAGGGACCTAATTGATACAATTTATAGTTTTGAGTACTACATGACATTCAGTTTATGATTGCAAGACTAATATGAGGTTTGCAATTATCTTATTTTTTCCAGTTAAACGAAACCCTGAGTAAATTATAAATCAGTTACTTTAGTTTTTTAAAATAAATTAAATAGTCCTTTATTTTTAATAACTAATTAATTAGTTTTTATATTTTTACATCTAGTTGTAACTTAATCCTCATCATTCTTTATTGTTTTAATAAATAGGAAAAAAATACAGAAAGATTGATAGAAGAAAATAATTTTTTCTAGCCATATAATATTAAATTAATCATGATCAATGTGGGTTAAAAAAGTAAATAATTAATTTTTAAAATAAAAGGATTATTTAATTCGTTTTGAACAATTAGAGGGACCAGCTACTGACGAAACCCGCTATAACATTTTTCCCTTCCATCTACTTTCCAAAATTTGATTTTGTTAAGGAAAAAAAAATCTAGCTTCGCCAGTCAGTGGTGGTCCCAAATTAGTTAGATGAATGGGTAACAATGTGTGGAACATGAAAGGGCAAAAACAAAATAAAATAAGAGGCATAAGGCTGCAAATTAAGAGTAATAAACAAACGTTTTAAAGGGGCCTAATTTAACGAAATACAAATATAAGGATATTATTTGTTGCTAATGAAGTTTTTTAGTGTAGAGTTTGATAATTGAGATTGAATTGGATTAAAAAACTTAATTTTATGATAGATAACTCTTTTTTAACTTTATATATTATTTATTTTTTTGTTTAACTATTTGGTATGATATATTTTTTTCAATACTATTTCTCACTTACAAATCATTTTTTGAGGTCTATCAAGTGCTTTGGGCTTCAAGATTTTTAATTAAACATAGGGCTTTTTTAAAACTCTAATACCATATTAAATTAAACAATTAAGATTGAAATTCATTCAAAAGAGTTATGTCTTATGGTGGGTGGTTCATTCTTAATTTTATATATTATTTATTGTTTGTTTAACTATTCAATATGAAATATATTCTCTAACACTCTTATTCCAAAGATGACAATGGCGGATACCTAGCCTAGTAATTCAATTTTTTACACTACTCATAAAAAAAAAAAAAAAAAAAAAGATACCTTACCCATTATCAATTACCAAAAAAATCACTTTATAAATCTTTACATGGCTTACATGAGTTTATTTGTTCATTCACTACCTATTTAGTATTTCCTAAAAATAAATCTTCAAAATATTTCATTTTAGTCTTGTATTTTTTTTAAAAAAAATTATCCTTAAATTAATTATTATTATTGTTGTTGTTTTTGCATTTTGGTCGTTTATTCATAAGTATTTTCATCCTCTTGGTTTTTGAAAAAAATATTTTAGTCCTTAGTTTATAAATTTTATGTAATTATATCCCTACATGTTAAGAAATAAAATAAATTAGTAGATATTAATAGAATAAGGAGTGAGTACCTATATCCCGAAACCTTAATAATTAGTATGTATTTTTTTCTTTACCTACTTCAATACCCGTTAGATATTTTTGATGAGTATCTATTGGGTTGGATAAAATAGGTGTCTACTTTGTACTTGTCTCGTTGCTATCTCTATCTCCCTCACTTGCAGCTCATTTTTTCAGAGAATTAGACACTTGACATACCCTTAAAAAATGAACTCCTAATAAAGGAGAGTGTGAAATCATATTTCATATTAAATAATTAAACAAAAAATGAATAATATATAAAAATTAAAAAAAAAAGTGACTCATCACAAGAATTAAGTCTTTTTGATGAAACACAATCTCAACTATTTAACTTTATATGAGGTTTAATGGCGAAAATTACTCTCATTCTATAACAATTTGACATTTTCAAGCCTTTATTATTAATTTGTGTAATTTGAATCCTAAGATATCAATTTTTGGAAAAATTTTATTCTAATCGTATTGTTTTTTTCATTATTTGTAACGATCAATCCAGTTGAAAGCTATTTTTTTCTACTTTTAATTTTTGTTAAACATTAAAAATATTTTTTTCTTTATTTTTCAAGATTTTTTTTTCATCAATTTACCTATAAATAAATAAGTTCATTAAATTTATCAGTCAACTTTTTCTTGGTTCTGTTTGAAATAAAAACTTTCACTTTTTGAACCTATCTTTAAAAAATAAAAATAAAATATATTTAGAAAGTTCTTAAAAAAATAATTTTCTAATTCTAACAATTTTAAATGCATATTATATATTTAAATAAATTGTGAGAATACAAAATCCTATAAAATATGTGAAGATAAAAAAAAATATTAAATAAATATGGCTATATTTAAAATTTAATAATTGAAAATCATAAAAATAAATTTATTGGCATGACAAAAGAAAAGCTTTAGTTAAAACTAATTATATGATCATTTTAATTGATCAAATTCAACCAATAGATATTTGTATTTTATTAGTTATTGAAGTTGATTGCTTTACTACATAAACATTCTTATTTATAATTAAAAAACTATATACAAATAACAATTTGATTGATTATAAAAAATCTTATATATAAAAATTTTAAATAGAAAGAATCTCTTTTAAAAAATAGAAAAAATATATTTTTAATGTTTAAAAAAAATTAACAGCTGAACAAAAATAAAAGTAGAAAAAAATTAACGGCTAAACAAAATAAAAATAATCAAAAAAAATACAATTTAGATAAGATTTGTTTAAAAATCAATATTTTAGAGTTTAAATTACATAAATTAAGAATAAAAACCTAATATTACTAAATTATAATAAAATAAAGATAATTTTTATCCTTAAACCCTCTATGTGACATCAGAATTTTAAAAAAAATTTGAAAATCTAATAAAAATTATAGACCTCAAAAAATAGATTACAAGTAAAGAAAATTCTATATTAAATTTTTAAACAATAATTCCAGAGCTATTTATCATACAACTTCTCATCGAAGCTATTGTTAACTTACTCTCTAAGTTTATGCACGATTGACTGATTTTTAAATTCCCTGGTTCTTTATGACTATCGTACTAGGTGATACAGTTATTCCATCTACTTTAAGCCGAAAGAATCCAACCCCTTCTCCTGGAAGTAATTGGACTATTCATGTAAGGCATAGTTGCTTCCTAGTAGTAGCCTTTCACCACTTCCAAGACGTGAAAGTGCGACACCAGTCTAATGGAAGACTCAAGTCAATTTGTTCTTCAACCATGCACCAATTCTCAACTAGGTCTCCAAACTGTAATTCTTTTCAATTCAGTCTTCAAGGTATTAGACATTCCTCAATTGAATTCATGCGTCCCTATTCATTAATCTTTCTACTTAAAATGAAAGTACGAGGCCATCTGGAGGACGTCCTTTTGGAGACCTAATTTATAAAATTAATAGTTTGAGGACTACATTATATTCCTTTTGTGATTGAAAGACTAATTTGAGGTTTGCAATTATCTTAATTTTTCAGTTAAATGAAACCATGAGTTAACGATAAATTTGTCCATCTAGGCTTTTAAAAGGAATTAAATAGTCCTTAATTTTCAATAATTAATTAATTAATTTTTATATTTTTAAATCTATTTATAACTTAATCTTTTTTAATAGATAAAAAAATAAGTAAAAATATTGAAAGATTTAGGGAAAAAAAGTTTTAAATAAAATAATATTAAATTAATTATGATGAATAATAATAATAAAATTAAATAATTACTTTTTAAAATATGTAGGAGTATTGAATTCGTTTTGCAAAACTAGAGGGACCAATTACTCATGAAACCCGCTATAAATTCATCTTCTCTTCCATATGCTTTCCAAGAACCCAAATCTCCTAACTCTTTACATTCAAGAATTTAATCTCTACAATTCTGTCTGATCTTTTCTAGAGGCAATGGGAGCAGAACGTAAGCCTTCTGCAACAAGCGAAGGATTTGATGAATGTGAAGCTGACTCGCATGTTTCAGTTAATGCAGAAGAAGTTCATGATGCTGTTCTTCATGATTATGTACCAATTGTGTCATCTTACAACAGTCGTATCAGACCTCTTCTTGATGCAGTGGACCGGCTGAGGCAACTTCAGGTCATGAAAGAAGGCATACAACTCCCTACCATCGTTGTTGTTGGCGATCAATCTTCAGGCAAATCTAGCGTTCTTGAATCGCTAGCCGGTATCAATCTTCCTCGTGGTGTCGGCATTTGCACTAGAGTTCCTCTCATTATGAGGCTCAAACACCACCCTTCTCTTGTACCAGAGATTTTCTTGCAGTACAATGACAAGACAGTGCCTACTGATGAAGCCCATATCGCTGATGCTATAAATCTTGCCACTGATGAGATTGCAGGCGATGGTAAGGGCATATCTAAGGCTGAACTAACTCTCGTGGTGAAAAAGAATGGTGTTCCTGATCTTACACTTGTTGATCTCCCTGGAATCACTAGAGTTCCTGTTTATGGCCAACCTGCAAATATCTATGAGCAGATAGCAGATATTATAATGAAGTATATAACTCCTGATGAGAGTGTGATCCTCAATGTTTTATCTGCAACTGCTGATTTTTCCACATGTGAATCCATAATGATGTCACAGAAAGTCGACAAGAATGGTGAGAGGACTCTTGGTGTGGTTACAAAGGTTGATAAAGAACCTGAAGGATTACTTGAGAAGGTCACTAGAAATGATGTGAATATAGGCCTTGGTTATGTGTGTGTTAGAAATCGTGTTGGTGATGGGTCTTTTGAGGATGCAAGGAAGGAAGAAGCTGCACTGTTTGCAACACATCCACTTTTGTCAAGGATTGATAAATCTACAGTGGGTATTCCAGTTTTGGCTCAAAAACTGGTGCAAATTCAGGCTAATATTATAGCCAAGTGTTTGCCTGATATTATCAGAAAGATTCACGAGAAGTTGAAAGCAAGTGCTGCAGAGCTGAATAGGATGCCTAAGAGGTTGTCGTCAGTTGCTGAGGCCATGGAAGCTTTCATGTCCATTATTGGATCTTCCAAGGAGTCTTTGAGGAAAATCCTTATAAGAGGGGAATATGATGAGTACGCAGATGACAAAAATATGCACTGCACTGCTAGATTGGTTGAAATGCTCGATCAATACTCAACTGAACTTCGCGATGGCTCTAAAAGTGGCTGTAAAAAGAACTTCTTGATGGATGAGATTGAGGTCTTGGAGGATACAAAAGGGATTGAACTTCCCAATTTCCTAGCTCACACTGCCTTCCTTGCCATCCTGCAGCAGAAGGTTGAGGGAATATCAAAGGTACCGAGTGGGTTTGTTGAAAAAGTATGGACTTACATTGAAGGCGTGGTCATTTCTGTTTTGAATCATCACTCGGAGAGCTATCTCCAACTTCAGTTATCTACCAGAAGAGCAGGCCATAAACTTATGTCTAAAATGAAAGAGCAGTCCATTGGTTGGGTAAGAGAGATTGTCCAGATGGAGAAGGAAACCGATTACACTTGTAATCCAGAATATACGAAGCAATGGAACCAGCTCATGGCACAGCAGCATACAGTCATTGATAACGTCTCGAAATATTCTACTTCCGAGGTGGTGATTGACGGCTCTACAGAGGTTTTAGCTGAAGGTCTTTGGAATTATAAGCATGTTCTGCCTCAAGCTTTTGACTTGAAGATGAGGGTGCTTGCTTACTGGAAGATTGTCTTGATGAGGTTGGTTGACAACATGGCTCTGCATCTGCAGCACAGCATCCGAAACTTGGTGAACAAGGAGATGGACAAGGTCATTGTTAATGAGTTGTTAGGCACCGGTGGTGGTGGTGCAATAGAAAAAATGTTGGAGGAACCCCCATCTGTGGCTAACAAGCGTGAGAAGCTGAGAACAAGTATCAAGTTGTTGAAAGAGTCTAAAGAGGTCCTGGCAAATATCATGGACGAAATTGCAACTGGTGGTTATTAGGGCTTAACAGATTATGGTGCTTCCGATGCTTTTCTTGTTTATTTTAGTTAATATGTATTAGGGTGTTTGCTATCTAGTGTGTGCTTTTGTTTTGCGAATTAATAAATAAGCTACTATGAATGTATTAGAAGTTTGATGGTGAACTCTGTCATGTCACTTGGTTAATTGGGTCTGGAAATTGTGACTTCTTTTGTGCTACATATTTTGCCATCTTCTCTGATAGTATCCGTGTGTACAACCTTCAAATGTTTCAGTCTAGAATCCAGGCCCTTCTATGTTCTGTTATCCATATTAGCAAACGATCTTTTCAATCTACTGTGCTTTTTCTATTGTATCATATTATGTAAGAAAAATTAAGGTAGAACAACTTCTAGGAGTTGGTGGTGTGTTTATATTTGGAGGTGTTATTGTTTTCTTGCAAACCTTGCTAGTGAAAAGTTGATGAGGTAACATTGTTCAGGCTCATCATGCTTGAGAGTCATCTGGCACTATTATGTAATAAAAGATTGGAACTGCTCCTTGAAGCTATGCGTAGAAGTTGGTTTTACTCTTCCTGACCTTCAACTCTATTTTCTCAGGAAAAAAGAAAGTGAGAAATAAATAAGCAAAGAAAGAGGAGCTAGAGGAATTAAAAATTTGAATGGAAAATCTAATTTTTCTGCATTTTCACCATAATCTTATGTTTAATTAGCAAGAAACCGGCTATGGCTTATGGTAACAAGCTATCAGAAACAAGTTCGGGACTACAACATTGAATTTCATCAGTTCTGGAACCTTATTGTGAATCTTTTGGCTTATGTTTGATTTATCTTGCTTTTGGATAAGCTCCAGCAGTTTCTGCATTTCTGCACGCCCAGTAAGAACTCCCTCCTGTGTTTTCTTCATTTCTGCACGCCCAGTAAGAAACTTCTCCTGCCTCTGCACTGTCTTCAGAATTCTTTTCTGCAAGTCTCAAGCTCTTCGCACCTTGATTTCAAATGCAAATTAGCATCTTTTTTCTGTGCTAAAACTTTCATCAAATCCTTCGTCCAGGTGTGATCAGAATGTTTTGAATTTGAATCAGAAATCGCAGAATTTTTGCTACCACTTTTACCGATCATCTATCCATCCTGTAGTCTATTAGTGAAAACTTGAATCAAAGAAATTAATTTTGAGATAATTTACAATTGCTGGTAGTAAGGGATTCAATTGTAAGAAATCGAGGGTGTACATGAAAAAATAACCAAGGATCGGATTCAATTACACTTATGCAAACTTTATAAGCAAAATTATAATTTTCTATAATTTGTACTAAGATCTGATAGTGCCATCCGTTTCTTTGTTAATTTATGGTAACTTATATTCTATAAATATTTCTTTTTATGCTTTAAATTTATCTATAATTATAAAAATAAATCTAAACCTACAAAAGATATTTTAAATAATTTTTTTTTAGTTTTAATTTCAATTTTCAGAAAAAAATTGTCCAATATATTTTTATTTTTTTCAGATTTTTTAAAATTCATTTATTTAAATTTGATTATAAAAAAAACAAGATTAAGAAAAAAAATAGAGAAACAGAATTAAAACAGAAAAAAATAAAGTGACAGGTGTTGCAATTATGTGAAGCTATTAATGGAAGGATGAAATCAAATGTGAAGTGAAGAATTTAAGCAAAAAAAAAAAAAAAAAATTTGCAGCAACCATTAATCCAATTCTTTAGAGTACCTCAATGTTTGCAAAACCTGGAAAGTTCATGCATTTGAAGTGACTTTGCATCTCAAGTTTCACTCTCGACACCCAACAGAAGACCAGACCCCATAAGCAAAAAGCAAAGACGGTTCCTTGCTTCTGCTAAAATATGCATCACCACCATCCATTCTTCTTGTGAGTTCCGTTGTTCCTTTTCGAACTTCTAAAATGGCCATATTTTGGTGTTCGATTTTGAAGAATTTTTGCCTGGGGCTTTATTCTTTCCCTTCCTCCCCCCACCCCCTCGTGATGGCTTTTTGTTGGGTTGTTAATAGTTTTGTATTTTGTACTTTATTTCGTTTCTAAAAATAAATGGACAGAAGAGGTAAGGACCGATTTGACTCTGGTAGTGAAATTATCTTATTCCTAGATAGGATAGCATGACCACTAGGGATAAGGTTATCCCGCCATGAGAATATCCTATCTTAGAATAGAACATAACAAATCAGAAGTAAATTTTGGTAAGCATTTTTCCTAATAAGTGAGCAAATTTTGGTGAAATAATGTTAAGTTTTAGCATAGCAGGCAAAGTGAAAAAATCACAACGCATTAAAATTTCTTTTTAGCGTTGGTTTCTCGTTCCTAACGAAGAAAAAGAAAAAACATCCCACGTAAATCCCTTCCCTTCAGATTTATATTACCCCAGATCAGTTCCAAAATGGATTGCTTGCAATTCAAATGAGATCACAAATAAAATCTATAGGATTGTAGGACTTAAAAAATCCCAATAATCTTCAATGGCATGTTTGCTTGCAGTGGAGGAACCAAAACCAAGGATTTTTAACATGTACTACTCAACTAACAATCTTACAATCAGTTTGAGAATCAATCAAAGAAAAGCCATAAAATTTATGAACTTCCAATGCCTGACTGTTTTCCTCCTTGCAAATGAGAACAGATGATGAAGAGAAACACCTGGCCAAAGCATTTTTCAGTTTTGACTCTCTTTTTGCCCCTTTTTGATCGGTCTGTGACAGCATAGTGAAAAAAAAAATCAATGAATTACAGGGCTTCTGCAATGACAGATGTTACAAACGCCACAGAGATGATGCCTTTGCAATGACAAACACATTCGTCCAGAAACAGCAAATGCAGGAAACAAGACCATCGTGATAATACTTAAGGTAGATAGTTTCAGAATGCTTTGACATGTAGCTTTGCCCATTTGCGAGCAACCTGTAGCGAGCATCCACCCCAACAGTACAGTCATTGCTCGAGGTAAACATGATCACAATTATGCTCGCTGACACAGAAATATTACTATAACAGAGATCTGCAGATGGTAGAACAACATCGGTATGTAGAGGATTTACTATACAGCATATATAAAAGGAGAAGAGATTTTCATGATCACTAGTAACTATCTCGAAAGAGATAAGAAGCTAGTGAAAAAAAAAAAAAAAAAAAAGATATAAGAAACTATTTTAGATGCACTTGTGAGCTAATTTCCACACAATGATCGGTAAGCATAACTGAAAAGCTTCACAACTCCCGGCCATTCTATTTGTTACTATATTTCTAAGCTCTAAACCCCAAAAGCTATGCTCTAATAAAAAACTATTCATAAAAAGATCACAACACCTGTATGGATAACAAAACTAAACAACTGAAGCGAAGGCCCAAAAGCATAGATCAAGACAATGACGAAAACAAGATGGTGACGTGGACTTGGGGAATAAACCAGAAGAGACATGTTTTGGAGGGCAAAATTATCCAAAACATTTTCATACATCAGGCCACCTATTGCGTCACAGAGAGTTAACCAATTGTGTGTTTTTTCTCCTAATCAATAATCATTCACCAGAGGATGAAATATTTTAATATCAATGATAAAGCAAACGAGCAGAAATAGTTGTGGCATCACCACACCGCATTACTCAAACGCATACCACATTTGAAGTTAAAAAGAAAAAGTCAGCGACCTGGGTGACGTGAAGCTTCAATTCCAAAATGTACTTCATAGAAATCTTTCATAACATCTATTAGATTACCATACGTTAAAAGCTGCATCAGCTAACTTACACAAAAGAAGCTCTACAGGCTTTAGAGAGCAATTCATCCATCTGTTGGAACACATTCTTCCGTTGGAACACATTCTTCCATTGGAACACATTCTTCAGCAGAAGCATGATCTACAAGTGGAACAGATCCTTCAGCTGACACACATGCTTCATTTGGAATAGATCCTTCAGCTGAAACACATTCTTCAGTTGGAGCAGATTCTTTAACTGGAATGCAGTCCTCAGTGGCAACACATTCTGACACCTTTCGCTTTCCAGACATCTCCTTCAGGAGATTGAATTTCTCCCCAACAACCAGCAACTTGTCACTCAGCAACTTAACAGTATTCTCATATCCTTGAAATTTATCAATGCACTCTACTTCAAATTCTTTAACCAACTTCTCAAGCAATAGACGGTTTAGCCTTTCTTCTTCCTCTTGCTTTAGCCTTTCTTCTTCCTCTTGCTTCAAGCGCTGCTTCTCCAATTCCATGGTACTCAAAACAAGACCTCCAGACCCAGTATCCTTGTAAATCGGTTCTTCAGGTAGTTGGCATTTTGCTCTGTACTCAACAAAGGCCTTGTGCGTCTCCTTCAGGGCCTTCCTATAGCCCTCTACGAGACTTCCCATCATATACAGTTCACGTTCAAGTCTATAAACCTCCAACTGGCTCTTCCGCTGCTCTTCCATCTTGGCCTTCTGCAATTGCTGAATGAAGTTATCGCGCTGCTGCAACTCAGTAAACAACATCTGTTGGTGCATACTCATTTGCTGACATGACTGCTCCTTTTCCTCCATCATCACCCTGGCTTTTCCCATCATACGCTGCATCTCCTCCTCAAACATATCAAAGTCCGAATACGGTTTTGCCTCCCAATGCCCATCACTCCTCATCCTCTTATTACCACCATTAAGTGAGTGATGAGGTATATCACTCTCAAGATGCTCAATCACCCTCTTGCTCCCACCAACATTACCAAAAAGTGAAGAACCACCAGGAATTGTGTCTGTATGAACCCTAGAAACATGAAACTCCCCAGAAGATACATTATCATGAATTTGGACCCCTGAACTAAAAGGAACTTGAGCTGCTTCCATCACCTCAAGAAGATTCTCGGAGCTTACACCCTCCAAAATATTCCCTTTGGCTGAGATATCAAAACCCACATCATCACCTTCCTCCTCCTCCTCCTCCTCCTCCTCATCCTCCACCTCCTCTGGCTCCTCCTCCTCCTCCTCCTCCTCCTCTTCTTCTCTTTCCTGTCCTCCCTTACCCTCTTCCTCTCCCTCCACCTCATCCTGCTGTTCCCTCTCTTCCTCACATTCCATTCCCCCAACTTGACTAAGACTACATGGCTGCAGAAAATGACCATCCATACTGATCTTTCCCCACTGACCCTGATCTTCTTCCTCTTTCCTCTCCTCAAAATCCATCACATCCTCATCACCCACATTCTCCTTTCCTTCTTTCTCCCCCTCTTTCTTCCCTGCATTATCCATCCCTCCAAGACTCAACTCAATTGTATGCTCTTCTAAGACAGATGATTCATCCCTAAACACCTCACCCGTCTTTACACCCTCCTCCATCTTGGCACCCTCCTCCATCTTCACACCCTCCTCCATCTTGGCACCCTCCACTGTTTTCGCAGCCTCCTCCCTCTTCTCAACCTCCTCCGTTTTCGCAGCCTCTTCCCTCTTCTCACCCTCCTCTGTCTTCGCACCCTCCTCCATCTTCACACCCTCCTCATCATCATCCTTAACATCAATCTCCACTTTAACGCTCCCCTCCTTCACACCCTCCTCTGTCTTCGCACCCTCCTCCATCTTCACACCCTCCTCATCATCATCCTTAACATCAATCTCCACTTTAACGCTCCCCTCCTTCAACAACTCCTCTCTCTGGCATTTTATCAGACACTGTAAATGCGAGGCATAGTAACAATTCCCTAAACTAGGCTCTGCATTCAACTCTTTTTCCACCATATACCAAACCATTCCAGCCCAATCCAACTTCTCAAAGTTCCCTTCTTTAATCAATTTAATCCAGTTCAATATATCTGGGGGCATCATCCAAGTATCCTCATGCAAAAATATCCAATTTGACACCAACTCCTCTATAAATCCAATTGACTCCGCACTCTCCTTAACCTCAGATGCACCATCTCCTAAACTACCCTTATCTTTCTTCACCGGTAACTTCAAAGCACGCCCTAAATCAGCACGGTTGACCATAATCTTAACTTCATTAACATAACTACCCCGCGTCGCAGGATTATAACCAGCAATCAATTGCGCAAGCAAATCAGCACGAAGATTAGTATCAAATTGCAAATGCACAAAATCCCACAAACCCAATTTTTTTAAAAGGGTTTCATGCGAAGCAAAGTCAAGGGTTTTGCTGGGTACAAAGGGGATTGGGTTTAGTGTTTGGCTTAAAGTTTCAAGCTTTTTCTCTGACTTTTTAACCTGGACGCGTCGTTTTAGGTTAGCCTTCCTGCCTTTCCTACCACCGCCAACACGACGGGAGGCGGAGTTGATGGTTGTGGTGGAAGAGAACGTGGTGAGGTCTTCGAAGTCGTCTTGGTTTTGGTTTGTTGGGTCATCTTCTTGAGGGTCAGGGTTTGGGATTTCTAGGGTTAGGGATTTGGAGAATTGGGTATCATCATCAGGTAATGCTTGTTGAATTTGATCTGGGTTTGTGATGTTAGGGTTTTGTGAGGGAGCATTTGGGTTTGTAGCTGGATCTTGAGGGAGAGTGGCAGACGAAGCCATTGGAGTCCAGTGTGTTGTGATCTAGGACTGTTTGTTTTCTCTTAGGTTTTGTTTTGTTTTTTCTTGGCATAAATTAAGAAAGGACTTAATTAAGGTTGACTAGAAAGGATTCGGGATCCGATAAAACTATGAACTGTATGTGTAACGCTTTGGATTTGCATAAATGTGAACACGTGGAGAGATTATTTGAATTTGGAAGTAGTTGCCTATCAAATTTTTAAGTTTATTCAAGAATGATCAAGATAGTCGCAAGAAATAGATTTTGGATCTCGATTTTTTTAAAATAATTATGGTATGTTTTATATTAATTTTGGATAAATAGTTTAATATGTTATTATATAATATTTTCGATTTTTAATCTGTTTTTATATTTTTAATTATATTTGTTATGTCATTAAATAATATTTAAGCTTTTAATCTGTTTTCTTAATCAGTTTTTAAGATCATAGGTATATTTTTTGACCAAACTTTCAATAAATAAAATGCAAAAAAAATAATAATAATAAAATTAAAATTAAAACCATTTTTAAAGTTTTTTTTTTTTTTACATTTCAAAAAAAAAATATTACTTATATTTAGGAAAAAATTTAGTTCGGATTGATCTGGAATTTGATCCAAATCCAAGGTTGTCAAGCCAAAATGAAAGAAAATTTATTGAACCATTTGGTGTGAAGACATTCACGTTACCTTAGAAAATTTGAAATGCTAAATATGATTGCATTTGGTAACCAAAAAATCTCAGATCTTCAGAAATCTCACTTGTCTTGGAGCATTGCATTGCTCACAGCTAGGAATTTATTTCCTTACTAAAACGAGGAGAATTTTGACAGGCAAATATATTTAGTTCTTTTTTCTTTTTCTTTTTTCACTTGAATGACCTCATTTTAGGGGTGAGCAAATAGTTTTTTAATTTAGCTTTTATGATATCAGCTCGATTTTTGATTAATTAAATTACAAAAAACAAAAATCGAAGCCAAATCAAATTTAAATTCAATTTTTTTGTTTCAATTTTTGATTTTTTTCAGTTTAACTCGAAATTTATTTATTTATTTATTTTTATTTTTTTTGGTTTTGGGCCTCTCCACGAGGCTTTTTAATTTTAAGCTTGTGAGTCTGGGTCATTGCCGATCTTACCTGTTTCACTTGTTGGCTGCAACAACACTAAAGGTGTGCTCATTGTGGATAAAATGTTAGGATTATGGCTTAAATGTATGGAGAGACAGGAACATAATTGGAAAAGAGGAGCAGATAAATTTTTATAACCTATTGCTAATGGTTACCGAAAAATTCTTCTATATCACTTCTTCAAAATTTCCATCCATGACATATGTGGCTTAATTGGTTTTCTCTTCTTTCTTATACCATCTTAGAGTGTTTTTGTTTTTTTAGTTATACTTGATTGTGGATTGCTTTAACTCATAATTTCAACATTAATCTCGACTTCTACATAAAGAATTATAGATTTAAAATACTAACTCAACCTAACAATCATTAATTTTAAACTAATAATGTACAATGCATGGATAGTAAAAGAATTGATTCTATGTCTAAGTGATTTTGTAAATCATTAAATTTAAAGGGAATAGAGAATCAAAATGAACAAAATGATAAATAAAAAAGAAAAGGATTGTCCAATTTCACTTTTTATTCATTATTTCCTTATTTTTTGTAAGTGACAAACCTTTGTTTGTCTCTTAATGACCACTCGTACCTAATCTATCAACAACCCGAGAATCTCAAGAACCAACACTACGTTATTGACCATGTTAATGTAGGTACCATCAAAATCACTTGCAACTTCTTTTACGTACATTAATTTTAAGAAAGTTTCAAAACGATTTCGTTGGTTTTGCTCCAACACTTTTGTAATTTGACATAGTTGGATAGAATTCAGATTTGAGAAGGAAAGTTTTTCTTGGACAAAATAAGCAAGAGACCTTTATGATCGACATCGAAGAGATTGCAAGCAATCAAAGGCAATTCAAGAATGAGCAAATCGGGAATAAATCTTTGTGCAAGAAGATGAAGAAAGCGTAACAAGAGTACAAATCAATTGATCCCATGGAATATTGAAGCTTTATAGCTGGTCAAAATCAATATGTATGCAAGATGTAAATGTTTTAATAATTAATGATGATATTTTACATAAATTCAATTGACATTTCAACTTTAAAATTGAAAAAAAGAAAAAACCAATTGTGAAATGTAGAAACTAGAACGGACCAAATAGTGGGAGAGTTGGGTAACGAAATAAGCTGTTGCGGCTAAAGAAAGATTAGGTCGAGTAGTAAGAGGAGGAGGACATAGAGGCGGGTGGTGGGTGGCGAGGAGGAAAGGAGGAAGAGTAATAGAAGCCTAGGAGAAGGGGGACAAAGACGAGTTAAGGGCAACGGTTGTGCTGACGCCGATGGAGGGATGCTTGAAGAGTTGAAGTTGAAGATGGGGTGGTAAGGAAGTGGGGTGTGCGGAGGCTCGCTTGGTTAAGGTTAGGGATAAGTGTCCGCGATCGTGCGACTTATGTGATGTTGTCAAGGTTTTTAAATTTTATATATATATATATATATATATATATGTTGGTTTTCAATTAAACAAGACTAAATTTTTCAAAAACCAAACCAAACTAAAATGGATAGATCGGTTTGGTTCGGTTCGGTTTTTCGATTAAACCGAATTTTGCTCGATCCTACCTCATCTTAATATTAAGTTAATTAACATACCTTTATTTTATTTTATAATAATAACATAAATTCTTTAGGTAATTAATATATACTAGATTTTTGGCATGTGTTTTGAATGTTTATTATTCAACTATTTTATAATATATTTTATATTCTCTAATAGATTATTTTGAATTATTTATAAGTAAAATTTTTAGAATATATTAAATTAAATCGTTTGGTTTTAAAATATGAGTAGTTATAAATAAAACTTGATAATTTGTAATTAATTTAGTTTATTTGATTTTTAAACATATAAATAAATTTTGTTTTACATTGAAATAGAAACTATAGATATAAAATAGTTAGTAGTTAGGGTATATATAAGTTTGTTCCATGCATATGTGTGATCTGTTTATAATTATATCTCTTAAAAATAATAATCACTAACAAATTTGCAGCAATCTATTTAACTCTATAGTTAGAAATTGAAAATATACATTTGGTATCATATATTTATTATATGACAATTCTACATCTTTCTTGCAAAAAAATAATAAATAAATAAATAAATAATGAAGAAATAAAAGGTTGAACCCACTATTTATACCATGTATTTCATAAAATCCATTAAATAAGTCCATATATTTTTAATTTGGTGAGTTGAACACGTGTATTTCCAATTTCAATCAATTAAGTATGATTTAAAAATTAATAATTTTTATACATTATAACAAATAAAAACATAATATACATGTATATAAAAACCGCATTTAGGTCCCAATCTATATGGTTATATTATTATTTTTATTCAAAATTAACATATAAAAATTATTCATTTTACAAAATCATGTTCAATTGACTAAATTAAAATACATGTATTCAATTGATTGAATTAAAAATACAAGAGCTTATTTCACAAATTTATGAAAGCATATGGTGCAATTAATGGGTTTAGCGAAATAAAACAAGAAAATGAGTTTTATTGTCTATTATAGTATAACGACCTCGAGAGTGAGCCATGATCGACGCGAGGACTCGAGGGGACCGTGAGGCCCACTTCGACCTAAGCAAGCCTTGGATACTAAACTAAATCTTAAATTATGATTGGATTTATTCTATGGTCCTTAAATCAATATCACTCAAATCATTATTCCAATCAACCTTATCATAGCTTAATAAACATTTCTTTTACAACCTTAATACAATGCATAATTCAATGTTATTCTCATTTCAATGTCCAAATTCAATATTCATAATCAACTCCTAATACACTACCTATAATTGTACTCGTAGAGTATCTAAGATTATAATTTTAAACAAATATAGGTTCTAAAGAATTACAATTAAAGTGAGTCACACGATCGAAGTGTCGACTTCGGATCAAGTAACCAAAAGAAAGCAATGAGCAATCCCTCAATATCCTAGAAAATTAAAATAATAAGAGGTGAGCAATTAACGATTCAATGAGTAAACGTTATATGATATACTAAGGGAGGGAAACGGACTATAGACAATGTTCTCAAATCCATGTCAAAGTGCAATGTTTACTTCTCAAAACACATGCATATCAAAAAACACATCTCATATCATAAATCAAATGGTTTGAAACTATTTCGTATCAAATTGCCAAACACTTGTTCATACATATATCATACTCATACAAAAACACATATATAGGTTTTGTACACCCATAGGGTAATAACGTATCACTCGGGTGTGAACACCCAAAGGTCATACCCTTCGTGATCGGGTTTCGCATGTTGGCCAACATACGGTCTAACACTACACCTCTCTTGCTAGATGGAGCCTCATATCATTGAACTCAAAGGCTACCACCCGGTAGCTAGGTTTCCTAGGGTCTCAAAAACATTTTTGAAAACCAAACATACTTATATATTTTTCAAATCGATATTTCAAATACAATGCATGCATTTCCATAAATTACATGAATATTCAAAATAATGAACAAAACATAGTCATGTTCAAATTTGAAAACACGTATCAAATCCATCTACACATTTATCCAACACATTCAAATCTCTTTTCAATTCATATCAAATCATTTTGATATGAAAACATTTCAAAATTCATGGTGTCCATTCCCATCTAACTTTTAATGGAATTTATTTTAAATCAATCTTAAACAATGACATATGAAGGAATGTAAAACATAATACACTATATAATATTCACTCACAAGTACACTTGAAGAATCAAACGAAATCAAGACGGTTGGGATGGAGTCGCCCGCTCCGAAGAATCTAGCATCACAAAATGATGGATCATCCATCAATATCACATAATAAGGAATAATCCAAAAAATGAATTATTCTAGAATTAAAATACAAGATTATTGTACAAAAATGGAATTGATTAGAAAGACTCAAACCAATAACCTTGACTAGACTCTACGAACTCTCTAATAATTCTAATCCATTGCTTCACTAAATCCCATCATCACCAATTCTTAATTCAATCATGAATCTCTAATTCAAAAATTTAATCAATAAATTCTTAATCTAATTAATTTTCAATTAAATGATTCATTACATTCTAATTCATTAAATACTCATTCCATTAACCTAGAATTGCATTCATATAGCTTGATTCCTCATTTTTTCCAAATTCTTTCCAATTAAAACCTAAATTCAGATTTTTCACTATTCATCATCTTCAACCTCTCAATTTCTCAAATTCATTTGATTCCACTTCAAATTAACTTCTTATTTCACTAACCTAAGATAATTAAGTATCATTCAAGTTATTACAATCATCTAGAATAACTTTTTCCTAAATGGGTCTCAAAACTCTAACCTTAATCTAATCAATTCCTCAAGTAAATCATAATCCAAAGCAACTCCAATTCAATATCACCTCTAACTACAAATAAATATTACAATTTAACGATCAATGGATCAAAAATCCTACCTTCACACTATACTCTTCAAATCCCAAATCCTTCCTAACTCTTCAAGCTTCTCAAGCTCCAAGCTAGCTATACTCCATTTAAACCAATTAATTTATGTTTCTCTTAAGATAATTTAACATGAATTAGCTTAGGAATCAAAGAAGAGAAATTGAGAGAAAAAGGGAGAGAATTATCCGAGGGAGGGGAAGAAAAGAAAGAAAATAAAGGGACAACTCGCACTCGTCCCATTTTTATACTAGCCTTTATTTTTTTGGGTTATTACATATAGGATAAATTCCATATATATATATATATATATATATATATATATATATATATATATATATATATATATATATATATATATATATATATATATATATATCTTTGACGTATCATTAAATTATAGCTACCGCTCAAAAGTTTGAAATATTGTAAGAAGCCCAATATAAGTGAATATTACAAAAAAATCTTTTTTGTGTTCAAAATACCCTTAATATTTATTAAATCATCTTCCTTAGCATTAAGGATGGTTTGGGTATACAAAGAGATTTTTGTAATATTTTTAAATTTTTAGGTGATTATTATAATTTCATGTTACTTCAAGAGGGTTTGTAATTTACCCTTTATTGTAATGTAAACGAACAATTGTTTTAAATAAATGAAAAATGAAACATTATTTTTTCATTCATGTTAAAAGTTAAGTAAGTTTAGATTGTATAATGAAAATAAGAAAGATCAAACTATCAAAATATAAATATGATATGTTGGGATCTCCAAAATAATTACATATTAAAATACAATTATGATGATACATAATCTAAGAGAAAAATGGTCTCAACTTGTCTTTATACAATGTGTTTAGTCTCCAATTTATCTTATATCTTAAAATGAGATAATTATGTTTCTATTATTAAAGTAAGTTTTCAATTTATTATTCTAATCATATTTTTTGTCAAACCACTTGAATGTCACACGACATGTACATTATTTTTCTGCAAACACACACACACATCACGCCCACGCGAAAATGCTCTTTTTAGCTTAATATGTTAAGTTTCTAATATGTCTTTATATAATTGATTTTGTTTTCAATTTGTCCTTAATCCATAACAACAACTTATATTTGTATCATGAGAGTATTACCCGTGGCTGACAATGAATCAATGATTGCATTATTAATTATGCAATGATATATTTTTATGATTAAATTTCATACATTCCGATTAAATAAAATATATTCAAATGATTTGGTCACTCGATAATTTTTAAATTCAAACACCCTCCATCAAATTCTAACAAATTTCATAGTAAAAGAATGATATCAACTCACTAATTCAATTTTTAATATTATTTTTGGCCAACTTTTAATTTTAATCAAACAATTACATATTTAAGGAACTAATTAACAATAATTTAAATATAATTATATAGTTTTTTGATCCAATCAATGACATTTATATCATTTA